GAGAATTAAATGTTGTGGGGCAATGGTGAACCACGTTTCCAAAAATGCTTACAAATCAACTGCTGTACACAGTCTGCGGACCATCTGCGCTGTTTCTGGTTACATATAGTGGTCAGGGTAATGATTGGTTGATAGCAGGCAGAATAAAACCGAAGCAGCTATGTATCAATCTTTGCGCATTCACCGTCGTCTACCTCGCTAAGAACTCAGCGGGTACAGGTGCTGCTCCGATGTGTACAGTTACAAAGTGCATTGCCAAAGGTTCGACGCGTTGTTCAAAAAGCCTTTCTAAAGCAAAATGTTTTATTTTAGCTTCACATTCAGAATTGCTCATGCATATCCTTCCGACGGAATAAAAATGCCCTGTCCCAACTTTTTATAAGTTATCTTGCCTTCAATTCTAGGAAGGTTAAATATTTCCTAGTACGTACCCTAACCCTTACTTTAATTGTAATACTAATCTTAACCCCATGAGTGAAGTTAATCCTGCCTTCATCCTAAGTCTAATTTTCCTCGAACTTAGCGCAAAGTCTGTATTACGGGTGGTTCTTTTTCCCCATTCAGCTTCCTTGTCCATGCCGTATTTTAAGTAACAGAATCTACACCTCAAAATCTGGTACAAACATCCAAAAACGCCAACGAATGGAAATAAAACCTTATTTTACTTCCCAGATTCCTGCTTTCCATAGGTAAATCTCAAAAGAATTGACACCGGTAATACGGGGATGAAAGGGTGAGTCACCTCAGTGTTATTACTAAGAATGCGTGAACTGGCATCTTCGAGTCGACTATATATTGAGCCGGTGACTCCTCACTCGCATCGTTAGTAAAAAAACGCTTAACGTGTTCTCTGTCGCTCGTCCAGCGCTCTCCTCTGTCTACTGCTGTGACCAGCAGCAAATGAACATTTAGATTTAATCATGGCCAGTATGAATGACATGGTCGAGTCCGCACTGATAGTTAGGTTGTACAAGGCGACAACGGCCCCTGCATGTGCGGGCAGACAGGACCTGCATCTTGTGCATGAAGTGGTTTTTAGTGAAGCAAACTTGCGCGGCTTCCTACCTCGCTCAATTGTTTCCAAAGGATAGAAAATGTGAAGACGACTGGAGGTTGGTGGAAAGGGGATGGGCTACTTAGACCCTGAACGTGCTCTACATACTACATAGTTC